ACTGCTTCGTGAATCTGGCCCCGGGTATAGAAATCAATTTAGGCGTTTCATTAGCAGCGACAAAGAGAAAGCTGAAACGAATGTCCGGTGAAAATCTTATTGACCAAACGTATTGACAAAGACCTGAAAGCTGCAACATCAGACATTGTGATGAATACCGTCAGGACTCATCTCTATATATGAATTAATCGCCAAATTGATGTTATAGTGGCCAGGGGCTAGATTCACGAAAGCACTTAGGCAAGTACTTACGAACGTGTACATCTTTCCACAATCTTTGACGGCTTTGGTTACATTTATTAAACAGTTTACAAGCATGAAAGCTTCCCAATCAACTGTTGTTATTGTTATATACAGCCTCCTGGTGCTTCGGAGCTCATTAACTGTTTAATAATTGTAAACAAAGCCGTCAAAAATTGAGGAAAGATATACACGTTCGTAAGTACTTGCGTAACTGCTTCGTGAATCTGGCCCCAGGATGCGTCCGGGCTACAGGTTCATCTGACAAGTTTCTCAAAACTCACCTGTCAATTTTGTGAGAGAGAAGCCGTGTATTGTAGTGAACTTGATATTGTATAAAGTCCCACATTGACCGACTTCAGATCCCCTCTGGTTTGAGATACGTTGATACGCTGCAAATAATATGTGAATGCTGGAAGACTTAACGAGGCACTTGACCTATACCAAAGTCGCGTGTGTAACCCAACAGTTCTGCGTGTGTGATGTAATTATAATTTGAATTTGTAAAGGCATTTGAGTTACCTGATGACCGAGTGCTCAGTAATTGTGTGTTGTAACAGCTCTCTCTCTAGCGCTGTGTGTGTGTGTGTGCAGGACACGATCATGCGCATACGGTACTTAGCGTTGTAACCCGGTGTCTCGCGGTCCCCTGTGTCTCCCCCCCCTCTCTCCCCCCTCTCTCTCCCCCTCACCTTGTCATGTGTCGCCTCACCTGCTCTAGGTCCCCCACCACCACCTCACTTGGCGCCGGACAGGTGAATCTATTGATTGGTGCCACTAGTAGTGACACCCCTCCCTCTCCCTTCCCTCCCCCCCCCCTCCCCTCCCCCCTCTCCCTTCCCCTCCCCTTCCCTCACTACGTTACCTCCACTCTTCCCCAACTTGCCTCCTTCCCTCATGAACCGTTTCACCCATTATGCCTTACCCTCTCCCTCATAATACTACCTCCTCATCCTACACCCCTCCTCATTACGCCTTCTGTAAAGATCGTTTAAATCCTGATTTAACAAACTGTCTGTGTTAGCAGACCGGCATAAAATATTTATCTCAAATTTGAGGCGTCTCTTGACTCGCCACTGCGTCCAAATTACAACTGTTTTAAATCCTCCACGAACCGTGCAGGATTCCGTGAAAAACTCTGCGCATTAAGCAAGATTAGACACATGACTGGACCAAAGTGTGGCCGTCGTTCGAGTGCTCTTAAGATGTGATGTATATGTCTATTATATAGATAGCATTTTGAGGTAAAAAAAAAAATCCCCAGCGGGCAATATACGACGTGCTGTAGGTCATCGGGGGGGGGGGGGGGGGCGCTCTCACACATTCCCGTTTTCTATGTGCGGGGATCGCTCGGTTAGGTTCGGGTGTTTTGGTAGTACGCCATGTTGTGTCCGTTGTGGATCATTCGTAAATGATGGACAAGATCTTACACCTGAATGTTGGTGGAATGTGAAGGAGAGGGGGGAGGAGGAGGAGGGGGGGGTGAGGGGGGGAAGAGGAGGATAGGGGGTGGAGGGAGGAGGAGTGGGGGGAGGAGGAGGAAGGGAGAGGAGGAGAGGGGGGGAGAGAGGAGGGGAGGGGAGGAGGGGGGGGGGAGTTGTTTGGCAGCGGTAACTACCCCGCAGTCAACTGTATCCTGTGTATCTATATATACACACGTACTGTATTAATAAATGGGGTATATACCTTCTCGGCAACCCGTAATAGAACGTCGTTGTATTTTGACGTATACTCTGCCTAACGGCAAAAAAATCATCGTAGGAGAGAATGGAAGCGATTCGGCATATTGACATGCTGTCCCGTTTTCTGTTTTGGGTCCTCTGGTAGGTTAGGATAAGGGCACTCTAGTACGGCAGTTTCTTGACGTTTGGGAAACCTTAGGAGGACGAAGTGGGAGGGGGGGGGGTGTTAAGGTGTATATATTTTCCTTGTTCTTGAACTGACGATCGATAGAGTGAGATTGGCACTGGTGAGGTTATCTTGAGGTTATCTTGAGATGATTTCGGGGCTTTAGTGTCCCCGCGGCCCGGTCCTCGACCAGGCCTCCACCCCCAGGAAGCAGCCCGTGACAGCTGACTAACACCCCAGGTACCTATTTTACTGCTAGGTAACAGGGGCATAGGGTGAAAGAAACTCTGCCCATTGTTTCTCGCCGGCACCTGGGATCGAACCCAGGACCACAGGATCACAAGCCCCGCGTGCTGTCCGCTCGGCCGACCGGCTCCCTTTGCCAGTACTCGCAAGATGCGGAATTATGTAACTATAATTGTATAGTTTGGTGGACGTGAGATGTATGTATTGGTATACACGAGTGTATGTATCATTCAGGTTATTGATTAGGATACAGCAAATCTCGGGTCAATTTACTCTAGCAATATAAGGCAATATCTAGGCAATATCTTTTCTAAATAAAATATTTAGATGTAATATATATGTATAATGTAATATATAATATATATATATATATATACTATATATATATATATTATAGTATAAATATATATTGTAATGACTACAAATCTACAAAAAATGTATATAAAATGCAAACAGAATAATATATTTTTTGGTATTTTATTTAATATTTGAGTTTTTATAAGATTTTAGTTAGTACTTTATAATTGTCGCTTATTCTGTTTGCATTTTATATATTGTATATATATACAGTATATATATATATATACAGTATATATATATACAGTATATATATATACAGGTCTGTATATACTATATACAAATATATATAAATGGGGGAGGTGACGAGGCTTTTTCCCTCTGTACGCTGGTTCAGTCACACTTCCTAACACTGCGACAAACTTGCTTTCATATCTGAACAAATTACAGTTTATGGTTGTTTTCTTGAGTGAGAGAGAGAGTGGAGACCATTCTGGTGAATGCTGCAGGAAATAACAGGTTGAATAAGTTAATTATTACTAAATGTTAAATACATTTATTTGCGAGGCATAGAGTCGAGTGCGCTAGGCTGTGCGGGAGAGAACTGCTTCCACTTTCTTAAGTTTCTTTTTGTAACGTTGTTCAATTATTGTCTGTCTTCTTCTTGGGAGTCGCCTTGCAATGTCAGTTGAGCAATTTGAAGGTCTTAGGCTCATCGCCCTCTTGAGTAACTGACATAGACCGTTACAGTTTCCCGTGTTCAAATTTTAAATTCAGATCAAGTTCAAAATCTGTATTCGTAATTTATTTATTTATTTATTTATTTATTTATTTATATATATATATACAAGAAGGTACATTGGGTTTGTGAGAATACATTGGATAGTACAGTATTTACATTCTTGTAAAGCCACTAGTACGCACAGCGTTTCGGGCAAATATACTTAGCTTATATTTAGCTTATATTAAATGACAGTGCATTATTTAGTAACATTGTAACACAACACGCCATCATTATATGATACATAACCTGGATTTAGAAAAGATATTGCCTAGATATTGTCAGTAATTTATGCAAAGCTCACAATTATATCTTAACCCAGTCGTTAGTATAATTGTTAATTGTTTGCTATAATTGTTGTGTGTTCCATGCCAGCCACAGTCTTCTTGCTCTGTGGTCACTTGTTTAATAATTGTGTGTTTGTAGACTTTGTTGATGGTATGAAGATGGCGATCAGGATTTGTTATGGTGTTCTTAGGCTATTCTTCGACTTCGGATTAATCCGAATCCGACTTCGGATTCGACTGGATTACTCTCCCCACTTGTTTGTCTCTGCACCCCTGGCCCACTCTCCCCTGGCCCACTCTCCCCTGGGCCCACTCTCCCCTGGGCCCACTCTCCCCTGGCCCCACTCTCCCCTGGGCCCCACTCTCCCCTGGCCCCTCTCCCTACGCAGGGAAGGTCCCACTAACAAGGGGACCTTTGTCCTCCTGTAGGCTGACAGCGAAATGCAATTTTTTCTCTCGGGTTGAATATTGTGTAGTTTATTGTATTGATTGTTATGCTGGGCTACTCACCACTGCTTCCTCCTCCTCCTCCTCCTCCTCCTCCTCTCAGCGGTTTGAAGGTAGCATGCGCTGAAGAAGGCACTGGGGGTAGTGAAGACGGCAGATATTTGGGTATATTTCTCGTATCATACAATTTGGTTGAACTGGGGTATATTTAATAAATAGTTTAGTAAATTGTATATATTCATTGATTGATATATTCATTGATATCATATTCAGTATGATAGAATGATATTGCCTTGATCCCTTCTCCGTTTCATATAAATATATATATGTATATGAAAGTCCAAGACACACACTTTGAATCTTGGCTACAGCATATACATTAATCAGCCCATCTTCCTGCTTTGGTAGTACTTACAGTAGCGATGATGTACTTCGGTATATGTACTTTGGTCAACGTAATTAGAAATCGGTACGGATGACTTTGGACAGACGGGGGGAAAAGAATTTTCTATAGTTCAAGTATGTTTATTGAGACAAGAAAGAAATACATCTTAAAGGGATAGAGTAGCTTAGGCTATTTCTACCCCCTCAATTTTTTTTCTATACATGTTGCAAAGACGAACTAACCTTCCTAGGCTTAATGCACTGTATCTGAGGCATATATATATATATATATATATATATATATATTATATATATTATATATATATACATATATATATATATATTATATATATATATATATATAATATGGCCCCTGGTTGCTCATATATATAGTAACTTGTGACTGTTGCTATATATATGTATATACCCCTAGCAGTAACTGTTGATCTAAGAGACTGTTGTGTCCGCAGCCACTGGACGATGACGACGTCAACTCTCTTCACGACGACAAGGACGTTGGCGGGGCGGACGCTGAGGGGGTGTGGTCCCCGGACATCGAACAGAGCTTCCAGGAGGCCCTCGCCATCTACCCGCCCTGCGGCAGACGCAAGATAATCCTCTCTGACGAAGGCAAAATGTATGGTAAGTACCCTGAGTGCCGTCTTTCTTCCTCCTCCTCCTTGGAGGCTCAGGGACCCCCTCCTGAGTGGAAGTTTCTTTTCACTCTTCTCCTCTCAGGAGGCTTTGGAGCTTCCGAATGCAAGTATCATGCATCCTGGCTTGCGCCTCGAGTGCAAGCCAAGCCGCACTCATCCTCCTATAGGAAGGTGTGGAGGTACTCTTCCTCCTGTAGGAAGAGTTCCTCCACACACACACACACACACACACACACGCACACACACACACACACACACACACACACACACACACACACACACACACACACACACACACACACACACACACGCCCCTCGTGTGCACTCAATCATATTGAACCTGCGAGAGAGTTGCTAAGGCATATTTTAAGACCTGTCGTTCACGGCTCGGACGTAGAACTCTTTGTTTAAAGTGCGGTCTTTGAAAGGTCAGTGCATGTTCTTAGTTACAAGTCGAGGCTACTGCGTCGACTTATAACGAAGTTCTCTTCATTTGCCACCAGCGTATATGAAATCTATATATAAAATATATAGTATATAAAATATACAGTATATTATATATGTATTATGTATATATAGTATATATATAGTATATAAAATATACAGTATATTATATATATTTATATATATTTATATATATATATATTTATATATATTTATATATATATATATATATATATATATATATATATATATATATATATATATATATATATATATTATAGTATATAGTGTGTATATATAGTATATAAAATATATCGTATATAAAATCTAACCTTCAAACACAAGCAGAAGCGTACACACCTAGGCAACCCACCTGACCTATTGAGTCCGATGCATAGAAAACGTAAGATAGTTTTGGGCCGTTACTTTGCATAGTTTGATTTTCCTGATGGATCAAGCCCGCCTCCGTTGCTTGATCCACCAGGCTGTAGTTGGTATGTTGGACTGTTAGTAGCGGCGTCCAAGGGCCTGAGGCCAGATTCACGAAGCAGTTACGCAAGCACTTACGAACGTGTATATCTTTTCTCAATCTTTGGCGGCTTTGTTTACAATTCTTAGACAGTTAAGGAGCTCCGAAGCACCAAGAGGCTGTTTATAACAATAACAACAGTTGATTGGCAAGTTTTCATGCTTGTAAACTGTTTAATAAATGTAAACAAAGCCGCCAAAGATTGAGAAAAGATGTACACGTTGGTAAGTGCTTGCGTAACTGCTTCGTGAGTCTGGCCCCTGCTTGCCTAGACCGAGCCGTGGGCAGACCGCTCCTGAGAACCACTACAAGGTAAGCACAACCGGTTCAGGGTCTCCTGTAAGCAGGTGGACACCGTAAACGGGTCCTCGTCCGAGCCCCTCCAAGCACCAGGGATTTATAGAGTGCAAAATCCCCCCCCCCTGCTTGGAGGGGGGAGGGAGGAGGCGGATTTACGAAGTGGTAAATCAATTCCCTCGATTTTCACACTGTAAAAATATGCCTCGTTTTGTCGTGGCCTGAAACTTACAGACCTAAGTTAATCCCTAACTTACGAAGGTCGCCGTATTGAAAACGATAATATTGCGTTAATATTTAATTTGTACTAATACAATTCCGTTAACAATTCGACGTGTTGGTGAGTACCCACCGGGGGAGGGGTCTCTCCAACACTGCCACCACCGGGGGAGGGGTCTCTCCAACACTGCCACCACCGGGGGAGGGGTCTCTCCAACACTGCCACCACCGGGGGAGGGTCTCTCCAACACTGCCACCACCGCGGGAGGGTCTCTCCAACACTGCCACCACCGCGGGAGGGTCTCTCCAACACTGCCACCACCGGGGGAGGGTCTCTCCAACACTGCCACCACCGCGGGAGGGTCTCTCCAACACTGCCACCACCGGGGGAGGGTCTCTCCAACACTGCCACCACCGGGGGAGGGTCTCTCCAACACTGCCACCACCGCGGGAGGGTCTCTCCAACACTGCCACCACCGGGGGAGGGTCTCTCCAACACTGCCACCACCGCGGGAGGGTCTCTCCAACACTGCGGGAGGGTCCACCGGGGAGGGGTCCAACACTGCCAACGGGGGAGGGTCTCTCCAACACTGCCACCACCGGGGGAGGGTCTCTCCAACACTGCCACCACCGGGGGAGGGTCTCTCCAACACTGCCACCACCCGCGGGGAGGGTCTCTCCAACACTGCCACCACCGTGGGAGGGTCTCTCCAACACTGCCACCACCGGGGGAGGGTCTCTCCAACACTGCCACCACCGGGGAGGGTCTCTCCAACACTGCCACCACCGGGGGAGGGTCTCTCCAACACTGCCACCACCGGGGGAGGGTCTCTCCAACACTGCCACCACCGCGGGAGGGTCTCTCCAACACTGCCACCACCGGGGGAGGGTCTCTCCAACACTGCCACCACCGGGGGCTGGGTCTCTCCAACACTGCCACCACGGGGGAGGGGACTCTCCAACACTGCCACCACCCGGGGAGGGGTCCTCTCCAACACTGCCACCCACCGGGGAGGGGTCTCTCCAACACTGCAACCACCAGGGGAGGGGACTCTCCAACACTGCCACCACCGCGAGAGGGTCTCTCCAACACTGCCACCACCGGGGGAGGGGACTCTCCAACACTGCCACCACCGGGGGAGGGGGTCTCTCCAACACTGCCACCCACCGGGGGAGGGTCTCTCCAACACTGCCACCACGGGGGAGGGGAGGTCTCTCCAACACTGCCACCACCGGGGGAGGGTCTCTCCACACACTGCCAACCACCGGGGAGGGTCTCTCCAACACTGGCCACCACCGGGAGGTCTCTCCAACACTGCCACCACCGGGGGAGGGTCTCTCCAACACTGCTACCACCGGGGGAGGTCCTCTCCAACACTGCCACCACCGGGGGAGGGTCTCTCCAACACTGCCACCACCGGGGGAGGGGTCTCTCCAACACTGCCACCACCATACACGCGTGGCCCCAACATTGTTCCCATTCCTTCATCGCTAATGTCCTGCACACTCGGTAATTTATCACTGGTTGGGTGGAGGGGGGTAAGGGGGGGGCTCTTCTTGCGTGTTGAGGGGTGGGGCTGGTGAGGGGGAGGGGATGTAGAGGGGAGGGGGGTTGGAGAAGGGCAGGGGGTGGTGCTTGCGCGTAGAGAGGTGGGGGAGACAGACGAAGAGGAGAGAGGGGGGGGTGTTGTGAGTGGGAGCATTGGAGGGGGGGGGGTGAGTGGGAGCATTGCAGGGGGGGGGGATAATGGTACCTGTGGTCCCTTTATTCGGGAGGGGGGGAGAGTGGGGGGGGGGGAGGGCCTGTTAGCTCTATCTTGCCCTATTGACAGTTCGCTCAGGCAAGCAATTCAGCAGAGGCAGGAAAGTTGGCAGGTGTACAGGTGGTGTCAGAGGGCCAGACAGAGGCGGCACTGGTGGTGGTGTCAGGGTCAAGGCAGCTGTTGTTGCTGCAGTTTGTTTTTAGTCGTAATAATCAACGGATTTGTTGTGGGCGTGACTGTGCAAGTGATGCTGAGTTTCGTGTGCTGTGTTGGTCAGTGTTTACAAGCTGTGTGGTTACCTACGCGTTGGGTGGGGGGGGGGGGGGGGCGTGAGGGTGTGGTGGGGGCAGGAGGGGGGGCGTGAGGGTGTGGTGGGTGACTGCTCCCTTACACGTCAAGGTCACCATCACGCCTGTGTTGACACCGAAACGTTATTGTTCCTGACTACGCTACCTCACTCCGCCCCCCCCGCCCCTCTCTGCCTCACCCACACACCTCCCCGTTCCATACTCCTCCCCCCCATCCTCCACTCCCTGCAACACCCCCCGACCCCCCGCCACACACCCCATCACAGGCACCACGCCCACTACCCCCACAAAAAACCACAACCCCCCCACCCCCCCCCCCACCACAAAATAACCCTCGCTCATCCACCACACACACACAAACCACACATATCCCGCCCACTACCACACCCGCCCCGCCCACCGTAGCAACCAGGCACAACTACTACAGCCGCCCCCCACCCACCACGCCCCCGCACGCCGCCCCCACCAAACACAAGCCGCCCCAACACTGTGCCACGGACACCGTGCGCGCGCAGCTTCGGAATAACACACTTTATTCATTATTAGCACGCCAAGCTGCGGTGTATCGCTTCTGCAGGCGGTGAAAGACTGGGGCGGCTGTGCGGGCACGGAGGCCGCCAGCCACACTTGATAAGTAATAAGTAGGGGAAATTGTGACGTATTGGGTGGGATGCAGGTGGTGAGATGGGTGCAAGGTGGACAGGTGGGCTGGCGGCCAGGGGGTGTCAAACAGGTGGGCTGGCGGCCAGGGGGTGTCAAACAGGTGGGCTGGCGGCCAGGGGGTGTCAAACAGGTGGGCTGGCGGCCAGGGGGTGTCAAATAGGTGAGCTGGCGGCCAGGGGGTGTCAAACAGGTGGGCTGGCGGCCAGGGGGTGTCAAACAGGTGGGCTGGCGGCCAGGGGTGTCAAACAGGTGAGCAGCTTCACGCATGGATCTTAGCGAAGGTAGCAGAAAATCAGTCAAATCGCCAATATTGATTACAACTGTCTCCCCCCCTCCCCCCCCCCCCCCCACCCCAGCAAGGATTTACGCACGGCGTGGTGAGTCAATGCACTATTGGGGGGGAGGACTAGCCACTGCAACCCCCCTCTCCCCCCCCCCACACACACGAATAAGTGTAAAATTAAACAACGAAAAATAAATCAACTCACTCAGGCAGACAGAGAGATACGCGTACTGTTATTTTGTAGTGGTTGAACTGTGGTCGTTCTTGGGGGGCCCCCAGTCCTCTTCTCTCTCTCTCTCTCTTCTCTCTCTCTCTCTCTCTCTCTCTCTCTCTCTCTCTCTCTCTCTCTCTCTCTCTCGCTGCTTCTCCCTTTGTCTCTCCTGTTATCATTCTCCTTTGTCGTCATTATAGTGTGTGGAGTGGGGGGGAAGCCCGTTACATCACCCCCCCCCCGTATGCTTCTTCAGAGTCCAGTAATCA